TACAAACTAAGGCTGTGAATAAATTTTTGTTTAGGTCCCCAAATTTTTTCAAAAATTTTTGCCCGCGCGAAAAAATTTTATCGCGATTTTAACGAGCCTTTGATAAGGCTCGATTAAGGCTTAATTGCTTTTTAATGTTTTTTTAATGGGAGTTTTTTATCAAAATTAATTAAGCGTTCTAAAGTTGTAGTGCACTGATTTTCCTTCGGTAAAGTTATTTAAAGCTGCTTTCTGATGTCAAAAACGACCTCCGATAGTTTTTTAATTTTTTTTAATTAATAGATTTTATTATATATATGTTTAATTAATTAGGGGGGGTCAGAAATTGCAATAAAAATTATAATTTTTTAAAAATATAGGTTTAATTTCTAGTCACCCTACTTTAAACCCTTCTCCTCCCGAGACGTCTATGAGAGTGTCCCGGGAAATAGGACACAGCTGTTCTCAAGGTCATCCAGATGTGTAAACAATGACTCATCGGTGTTAAATTTCACAGAAAGGGGAGACAAAGGAAACTAAATGATGAAGCTTTTTAACCAAAATTAACACATTTCTTTTGTTTTTTTTCAGTTTTAAGTATTTTTTATGCTTAATTAAAAATTTTTTTAAAAAAGTGGACAAGAAGTGGTTAAATAAGGAATATTTTGAACCTTGGTTTCATGATGACACATGCATACATTCGCGAGTAATTAGCATTTTTAAAGTTGTACTCCCGAGTGGGACACCCTGTACTTCCTTTTGTCACAAATTACAAACTTTTCAATCCACACCGGCAAATTGCTTGCCATACCAAACATTTTTTGCCAAACTTTTTGACACCAATTGATGTTTGAGATTCTGGAATAGCATGAACCCTGAAAGTGTTGAAAAGTCAGCCTTCACATATGTTTTGTCGTCTAAAACCAAACAAATATTCCCCTTGCCAATTAAAGAATACAATTTTTGACTAAATAACCGACACCTAAATGTGATTTCCAGCATATAAACACAAATTTACTGCTGGAACGTTTTCAGCTGTCATTTAGAGGCCCTCATCAGGATTGAATGCATAAAAAACAGTTCTATCAAATAAAATAAAAACTGATAAAAGCAAGGCAATCATCATCATGAGAAGGGCCACCTATGTCAGTATATTACACCAATATACAGGGCGAGTCAAAATTATGTAAACAATCTTGGGTGAGTCAAAATTATGTGAACAATCTTAATTTTTAATTAAACTTTATTAATAAAACATCTTAATTTTGTTTCATTTTCTATTCTGATTGGTTGTGACAGACCGTTGTTATGGCCTCCCCAATCTCCGGTGTTCTGGCACTAAATTGTACTGTTGAACATTGGTTTAAGTGCATTAATCGCACTGGTGATCAGGTTGAGATGCTATATAATGCAAACTTTGAGTAAATGCTTTCTCTCAAATAGTGTTCACATAATTTTGACTCACCCTGTATATTAGATACACAATGTCAACCAGCGGATGCCTCTTACATAAAGAAGCAACAAAGTCGTGTCGGTAGGTTCACACACACTGGCCTAACCATAATGTTAGGCCTTTGACATACAGTGGCTAACCCCCGACATCCCCCGCCTATTCACATTTGCTAAAATACATAAACCCAGTCAGTAACTGAGATCGGTAATCAATAAAGCCACGTTTTTGTTAGCGAAACAAAACCATCACCTGTTAAACTGCCACCTAGACTCTCTCTTACTTACTGGTCTCTTACTGTGTCTTACAGAGACTTACTGTCTCTGAGTCCACCAAACTTCTCTCCAAACTACATAATAGTAGTTTAAATGGAAATGAATCTTACAGTATTCAATATTGTATCGATGTTTCCATCCATTCATTTGGAACCATGTTTTTGTTCATTAAGAGATTTCTTTCTCACTAACTAGATGTCCAGAAATTTCATTCCCAGATATTAGAACTTAAGCACCTAATATGCTATTTGTCCTTTTTTTATTTGGATGGTCAAACTTACATTCAAAAAAGGGGAGTACCAATAGGTGACGCTATATCAGGAGATCTATGTGAACTCGTCTTACGAAGATTGGAAGGATAGGTGTTAGTAAATTTAAAATCCAATATCCCTAGTTATACCCAGTATGTGGATGACATTTTGATTATATGTAAATTTACAGAAAAGGAAACTTACCAGTCAAATTCCACCAAGTAGGACAATTACTGAGCAATTTAACAACTCCAGATGCAAACATCAGACGAAACAATAACCATCTCAGCAACCATAAATTAACTGTATCATATGGCTTATTGCTCAATGAAGACAAGAAACTAATTGAATATTGTTGATGAAATATTCCCAATGGTGCTAGAAGAATAGTTAGAAATCCAGCTTCTAAAAGTAAAATGTCCCTACAAAAATATATTCCTGTAAAAAGGTATGCAAGTGATTTCTAAAATAGCAATATATTTTAGATATATAAAAAATTAATGTAATTAAATATATACTTGCCATTGAAACCACATGAATGTTTGGCCAACCTAAGATGCAAAAAATTATTTAATATTTGAAAGATATTGATATTTAAGATTAATTTTGAGTAATAAACTACCTGAAAAACAGAAAAATATATCATCCATAATAAGGCATAATTAGTGCAATCTCTAAGTCGATTCCACACAACTCCTCCAAATGAAATAATAATGCCTAATAAAGTGAGAAACTCCATCATTAAAGGTGCATCCAATCCAAACAATGGAGCTAACCACAGTAAAGTTGGTAATTCTCTGGCTCTTGTTTCAATGGTGGCAGCATCAGATTCTGTTTTAAAAAAAATATATATATATACACACATATATACTCAAACATTTTTTATATTAATTTAACATATAGAAAAATTAATTATTTTAAATGAAATACTTAAGTTATTAGTTTTTTTTCATTCCAAAAAGTATACTCTTATTTATTAAATGTCACTAGCTCTGATTTTACTAACAAAAAAAGAAAAAAGAAGAAAAAAAGCTTGTGAAAAGGCAAACTATACTTTTATTCTTTCAAATTCTTCCAACAGTCTATTTAAATCTGTAATACTTTAAATTTAAAAAATTTTAATTATTTACACTTCTACATCCTTTTATATGCACTTAAATTCATTACTTTCTTCCTAAAGCATATCTTAATCTAGAGATGTGACAATTAATAATTGAAATAATTGATAAATAATCATGCCATTCAAAAAACATTAATAATTTTAAATTTAAATAGTATTAAATTAATGTTAAAAAGCAAATAATTTTTAAAGAAATGATAACTTTATTAACAACAATAATTCAGGATAATCATAGTGACACATCTAGTTCTGTTACAAGATGTTAGCTTTTTATATATGTTTTCAAACAAAAATGTACTACTTTAGTACTATTAAATTTTTATAATCACATCTTTTTAATGAATAAGTTTTGATCTCACTCATAGCGAATTATCACATCTGACAGCTCAATTTTCAGCAAGATCCGCTCATTTTTGAAATTTTTCACTTTACTATTACATTGCTAATTATTTAATATTTGTTTTGTTAACTACATTGCACTTGAAATAATGTCTGATTTGTGGAAATAATTGTGACATACATCAATTAAATAATCAATTAATAATGGAAAAATGTGACTACCAGAAATATTAGTCATTGCACCTACTTGCTTAGAATGGCATTCATATAGAACTATCAAGAAAGTATATAATAACTTTATACAATTAGACAATTATACAATCCCAATTAACTTTTCATTGTTAACTGGATAACATGACAATCATTCTAGCATTATCTTAATCTTTAAGAATTTATCTTTGATTTTCCTAACCTAATCTAAATCTTTATAAGCTGATTAAATCTTTACTGGTTTATACAGTTTCACTTTCCTTCCTTTAAATTTTAACTCAAGCTTCTAAACAAAACATCAGAAAATTTTACCAATTTTTTCTAATTACCTCCTAACATAACTTTCTTTTAATCATCTTTCACAACAACCCATTTCTATTGTCTATCATCAATTTTCCAATCTTAATATATTTAAAAGGTTATAAATTGTGTTGTTTCCATTTTTTATATGATTTTTGTAATACTAAAATCTTATGAATAACAGATTTTTATAAAGTAAATCAAATTATTTTTATAAAAAATAATTTTTTTTTCTAAATGGGATCATAAATTATATTCTGCAAATTCATGATTAATGCTCTAATTATTAATTTCATCCTTTTCAAATTTATTAATTCAAAATATAAAATTTCTAAATCAATAGTATCATTGATGTCATCTTAATCAATTCATAGCCTTTTTATAAAAATAATCTAAATTTATATTTTAAGATTTATAAATACAGTCAAACTTCCATGTTACAAACTTTAGTATAAACTATAGTGTAACTTTAGTACAAACTATAGTGAATTTCTCTGTATAAAAAATTTTTGCATTGTACACTGCTCTTTCAGCCAAAAATATATGTAAAATTGCTTCTAAATAATGAAGTAAAATTCCAATATAATGAATTTTTTTCATTTGTAAGGACCATTGGTCATTAAAAGTCAATTACTCCCTCTGGGCAGAGTTCAAATTTAGGTTCAATTTCAGGTATCAATCTGTAAACTCTTTGTAAAACTGTGCCCAGGTGTGAGAAATTAGTTTTTAACTTAATTGTTAGCTTTCAAAACCATCATGTAATTTGTTCCCCACATGGCTACTAGTTGTAAAAGGAGAGAGAGATTAGGTTCAAATGCTGTCGTTGTCAGATAAACATTTTACAATTAAAAAAGTTGAAAATGTTAGAAAGGTAATAATTTTGACAATTGCTGAACTAATTTTTGAGGTTAATGAGATTTTATTTTATTTAATAAGTCATCCAATTGAAATTTGAAGAACTGTTAACATAGTGTTTAAGTGTTACTAAAAAAAAGTAGTGTTGCAAGAAGTTGATAAAGGCTCAAAAAAGAAACATAACAAAGTTTGGAATTCCTGTGAGTAATTTAACAACCATAATAACAAATCGCAAATCAATTTTGAAATTACCTGATAATGTGAGATCTATGGGGAAAACATGCTAGAAACTTGCATTTACATCAATGTAGATGAACCAGTTTTAATGCTCTTAATAAGTGTGAAGATATTATGAAAGAGAACATTTTTTTTAATTATTCTGTGCAACAAAAACTTAAAACTTTTTTTTTGGCAAAAATGTAGTTAAACTAAGTTGTAAATACTTTAACAAACAAATATAAACTTATTTAAAATTAAAACTACATTTATTACATTATTATTGTATATTATGTTTACATTAAATTACATAAAATAATAAAAAAATTNTCCACTAATGACAGACATAACGCCATAGTTAGTAAATTGAAAAAATTATAATTGCCAGTTAATATTATAGAAACTTGAAACAACATCTACAAATATAAAAAACAAAAGTTAATAAAGCTAAAAAGTTAGCAATAAAATTATAAAAATTAACAATTTTATAAATTAAAATATATACTTGAGCATGAAAACTGAATACACGCAAAGAGTGTATAGGAATGAAAAATAGGAATGGGATGGCAATTTCAATCACAAATGTCCCAACCACAGCCAATTTTAACAACCAAGTTGGAAGATAATGAGCAAACCATGCTAGAGAAGTAGGAATACACTGGCTTTCAAAATGGATGGTCAGTGCTGGAAAAGTTTTTATAATTATATTAAATTATCTCTCAGTGTTTTATTATTTTATTTATTAAGTTAATTAAATGATACATTTAACTAATACAAATTAAATAATAAATTAATTATTATATATATTCTAAACATGATTCAAATTTACAAATTAAGGACTGTAACATTACAAAACTGTAAAAATAAAAAGGTACAGTACAGTAGAACCTCGAAACTCGGCCTAATGTGGACTGAAGGGTGGCCGAGTTTGTGAAAATGCCGGGTTATCAGGAATGGGGTTAAAAAAAATAAGTGCGAGTATTTCCTCAGAAAATACTGTACTGTACTTGTATGTATTGTTTACTTGAGAATATAACAGAGAATAAACTGCCCGAATACCCTTAAACAAAGGAAAAGTACGTCCTTTATGAAGGCATAGAGCCTTTACTACATGAAAATGAAAATTAATGAATACACTGTGTACAGTAATTTACCTGATAAGACAGACCTCAGAAAAATACTTTATGAGAGCTTTTATACTTTTATAAAGCTGTCTATAATGAAAATTAATTAACTAAGGATTTTTTTGATCTGCTAGGGTGTGCCCGAGTTATCCGGAGTGCCGGGTTATCGAGAGCCGAGTTTTCGAGGTTCTACTGTAATAACTTATTTATAATGTAATCAGAAAAATTTTATTTAAAAGTTTGTTTTTTTAAAAATACATTTATGACTTAATAATAACATTTAAGTTTTGCTCAATTCCTTTTGAATGCTCTTCTTGAGATTTTTGAGTGTTTCCTTCAATCATTGTGACTGCTCTTTTCCACTTAGGAGAAAAATTTTTATTGTCTTGCTGCTCTGTATTTTTTTTTATAAGAGGCCAAAATATTTCTATTGGTCATCATTGTGATATGTTTGGTGGATTTGTCTCTAGATACAAAATCAATTCCATGCTGTTGCAACTTTCTGTGGATCTTGCTTAGTGTATTACTTGCCAAATTGGCAAAAACAAACTATGATCACCATGCACCAAGCTTTCTTAAAAAAGGAAGAAGACTTTTTAAACACTCATTAATATAAATTTCAGCACTAATACAGGGTGTCACATTCAGGAGTACAACTTTAAAAATATGAATTACTCCCAAATGTGTGAATGTAAAGGTGAGCTGTAAGAACTGAACATACCTGTATTTATTGGAAAACAAGTCCACATTACAAAAGGTGCTGAAAACATCTGTGCACAAGGAAATGCGATGCTCCATACTTGAAAATGTCCTCTGCAACATGTCACTGTAGATGGCAGCAATTTCATGCTCGATGTTTGCTTTCAGTTGTTCGATGGTCCTGGGTTTGCTTGCATACATCTTGCCCTTTAAATATCTCCATAGAAAAAATCTGGGGGAGTTATATCAGGCGATTGAGGTGGCCACACCTCAATCGCCACAACTCACACTCAATCTTTCAAGATCACCCTGTCTCCAAAAAACGATCGGATCTCTTCCATACTGGCATGAGAGGTTTGGCACATTGCCCCGTCCTGTTGGAAGTAACCTTCTTGAAGTTCATAGTCATCCAGTTATTTCACAAATTTGTCAAATATGGACAAGTATTGGTCGGTGTTCACAGTCTCGTCAAAGAAAATTGGACCAATGATCCGAGAATGAGAAATCACACACCAATCAATTCTTCATTAAAACCCCTTCCTACCCACGCTCGAGTCTGACTCAAGCAAGGTTTATAGCATTAAAAAAAAAACTGGGCGTTTGGGCCCCCGAAAAAAATTTTTGTTTTTTTTTCAAATTTTTGGAATGTTTTTTAGGTCCCCAAATTTTTTCAAAATTTTTGCCCGCGCGAAAAAATTTTATTGCGTGCAGGCAAAATCGCAATAAAATTTTTTCGCGCGGGCAAATTAAGGCTTAATTGCTTTTTAATGTTTTTTTAATGGGAGTTTTTTATCAAAATTAATTAAGCGTTCTAAAGTTGTAGTGCACTGATTTTCCTTCGGTAAAGTTATTTAAAGCTGACATAAAAAACTGACTCAGAAACTGGAACTAAATATTGAAACTACTACTTCACACCTTTCATGTGCTGGAATTAGCACTTAGGTGTGAAGTAGTAGTTTCGTTATTTAAAACTGCTTTCTGATGTCAAAAACGACCTCCGATAGTTTTTTAATTTTTTTAATTAATAGATTTTATTATATATATGTTTAATTAATTAGGGGGGTCGNGGCAAAAAACTTAATTTTGAGGATAAAGATGATTTTATAAAAAAAAAAAAAATTGTAAATGCTAATAGCAAGTAAATTTAAAAATTTTCGAAAACTTTAAATTTCACAAGTATTCAAAATCTTTCATCTTTAATAAGCTTTATGTTCATTTGTGGAAAGATAATTTCCTCAGGATGGCCTGTAAGAATAGGCTGAAAACATTTGAATATTAAATTGCAGTAAGCTCAGCATGTGTTCTGGTGTTTAATTTAGTAGCGAGTAAAATCGAGATATGGCACATTACCTCCCTTTCTCTACCTCACCACCCCTTGACCTTTAACCATTAAAATTTAATAGCATTAATTCCCCTAATACATAAACCTCTCTTCAAAATTCCAGAAATTTTTGACAAAAGGCACAGGAGTTATTAAGCTTAAAATGGGACAGCAAAATTGTACCTCACATCCATACATACAGGAAAAAACTCTAAATTTTTTTTTTTTGCATTTCATGGCATTTCAAGGTTCTGAGTCCAAATATGTAAAAATCTTGAGGGGTCTTTTTTTTTGACTGATTTTCATACTTTCTGTTATACGTAACAGTCCTCTGTGCCCACAGGTTGAAAAGGGTAAAAAAAAAAAAGGGGGTATACTATTATATATGAACTGTCTAAAGTATCAATGGTTCAATTTATTTAACATCTGTTGGTGTATCTTGGGTGAGCATACATGAGGTCAATGAGAGTTGCATGCTGATTTTTCATATATTGTAAAGAGCCACATCATATTATTTAAGCGCACAAAAATAAATACATATAATCAAATTTTATTTAACTGAATATAATGATACACAAGTTTTTAATGCTGTATAAAGTATATAAAAACTTTTAATTAAGAGAAAGAAATAAAATACAAAATAATTATTTCAAAACTTTAACAATAAAAACAAAATGTAATAATAAATACTCATTAAAAAATATAACATTTAACAAAGACCTTTGGTCAAATCTTTGAAATTTGGCATATAATTTGTTAAAGATGTTCACAGCAATTCTGTGAGATACTGATTGGTCAACTATGAATGATATTTCGACTTCATGAACCTCATTGTGGAGTACAATTCACAGCAATACGTTGTACCAAAAATTGAAATTAGACAGTAAGCAGATTTCTTTAACTGTGGATATTTTGATACTGGCACAAGTTTCCAAAATTCAATTAGAGAAATAGATTTGTGATGCATTTGTAATGCCTGATCTTTCATCTCTAATAATGCCAATTCCCCAGCCACTTTTTCAACAAGTATTATTTCAGAAACTGGAAATCCATCTTCAATATCACAAATAAATGAGTTCACAAAATATGCAATTTTTGCAAATGCATTCAATGCTTAATTGTGCTATGCAATGTAAGCAAAACAATTGCTTAGGCCAACTAAACAAAATATGAACAATCTAAAAAAATTTTTTTTAAATCTCAACTAGTTAAAACCTGTTGTATATGGCACCAAAACAACAAAAAGCATCAAAATCAGTAAAGATAAATATGTCAACTCTATTTTAAAAAGTTGATTCAAAATTATCAAATGTTTTCTCAGAGTTTTCATCCATTATAGAAAGATGTCACATTGATAACATCTATGATAATCTTTGCTGAAAGTTTTTTTATTTGTACTTATTTCAAAGATAATTCTAATTTCAAAAAATATTTTAGTAGACATCAATTGACATCTTTAAATGATGCAAAACAGTTGAAAATGATATGGTATGAAATTTTATCAATAGTACTTTTGGAATCAATTCATTTCCTGATCTATTCAAATCATTTAATTTTAAATATTACGATATTGAAAATATTTTAAGTGCTTTAGTTAACTATAGCATTAAACATCCATACATATCAATCTGAACTAACTAAAATAATATATAACATAATTTAATTGGCCTTACATAAAGTTAAATACAGTAAAACTTCTGATCTCAAATTCCTCAAGTAGAAATAGATTGTCAGTCTCAGTGAACACCCTATTTAACATAATGTACTTTCTATTCCTAATTTCAAACAAAATTTCACATATCTCAGCATTGTCCTTCCTTAAGTTGAACTAGTTGAATTCATCAGGTGCTACCAATCTATTAAGTTTCAAGAACCCTTGTCATGTTGCCTAGTAAAGCAATCTTAGTACAGCTGCATAAGCAAGCCAATGAGTCCAACTGTGTTAAAAAAGCCTCTTTACCAAACAACTCACACTTTGTTCTTGAGCTCTGTTGCCAGTTAATAGAAAAATCACCAGATCTAGTGTTATATTGAAATTTGATGTAATATATTGTGCAAAATTTGATTTTTGAATAAATTCAATGTAGCATAGATGGGGAATTTTGTGATGTACCTAAATTAATACTATTTGTGGACATATGTGTTTCCTATCTTTTTCTTGTTCGAAAAATGTGGCCAAGCCTTGTTGTTTGTTTGTATTCCTTTTTTAAAGTTGCTGGTTTATTCCAAGCTTGTTGTAAACTTGTTCTTGGTTCTATTTTTTCTTCTTTATTAATAAACTAGCTTACCAGTCGCACATTACTGCGATCTCAGAAGAAAGGAAATTCAAGCAAACTCGTTATGATAAAATTCAATTTACATTTTATCATTTTTATTGAAACTTACTATTATTACATTATTATTATTATTATTAATTTTTATCGGAAAAACATTTCAAAGTGTTGTTTCAATTCTATTTATTTATTTATTGGAGTGCTTGTGGATACACGATATTTTTTGTTTTTGTCTGGTGCATACACAAATAAATCAGAAGGTTTTCCAACGCGTGAGCTGGCCGCATACAGTTATACATGTGAGAAGCACAGATCCTTTAAATTTAGCTCACATACTCGCAGAGATTGCCAGAAGTGCGATATTCCCCATTTTTATATATATATTTTTAATCCTTTATAATTTTGATTATTTAATTGCTCCTTCCTCTCTTCCTTGGCATGTTGTGAAATTTCTGATAGTTGGATAATAAATCATTTTATTGTAATTTGTCTTTTTAAATTATTTTGAGTTGATATTAAAATTTGAAAAAGGGGGATCCCAGGATTGGTAAAATAGGCGAATTTCCTCCTACAACTTCGGTTGTTGTTCGGGATACAGTTCAGGTTTTAACAAAGTTCGAGCAAATACATAATTAGCAAAAAATAGTTGAAATAAAGTGATTAAAGAAAAATTATTACAAATATCGTAAATAACAGTTCACAAATGCACACATAAAGATATTTTTTGAAGAGGGGAAATGGTCTTCACAATTTGAAATCGATCGAACACACAGTATAAACGCGCGCCATCCATTATAGGATAAATGTACTATGCCAGAAACCTTTGCAGGAATGTATTAAAAAACTTCCCAAAGCTTCATGGCAGTCGTACTATGCCAGAAACCTTCACAGGAGTATATTAAACAACTTCCCAAAGTTTCTTGACAATTGGATAAACGGTGTGGTAATGTCGTGCATGAAGATGTCGTGAATGAAGGATGAACAGATAGACATACATTCATTTTAATATATATAGACAAGTAAGATGTCGTGCATGCATGCAAACTACCAAGAAATCCTGCCCTGCTTGAGCGAAAAGCATTAATCTTTCAGCAGTGGGTTAGTCAGGTATGGTGCTATCCCTATGTAGTGGAGAATAAACGTGGGAAATTTTTAAGTATTTTCCCACGCATTTTTGTCATTACCATTTCGAAATAGGGTTTGTAAACAGTTATGTCTAGTAAAGAAAAGTCTTTTTTTATTGTTACATAATTCCTTTTTTTTATGTGAATTTTTTTTCGTGGTAGTTTTTGGCAATATCTGCAAAAGAATTTTGTGAATATGTCCATTGTTCACTAGTGTCACACAATCACCCTTGACAGATATATCCGTTGGTCACTGCTGAGTAGTTAATCATTTTCCATTTGGTCATTAAACTGAAAAAAAATAATGTACTGCCATTAAGTTAGTGTGTTTATGTTAATTTTTTTATCAGTACTCTTATGTCCTATGTTGATGACAGCAAATCATGAATGTACTTTTTCTTTTGCAATAAACATTAAAGAGATTTTTAAAAGTTTTGCATTAATATTTTTATTTTAATCATTAAACATATATTTTTATAAAATTAAATTTTAATGACATCTTAAAAATGATCAAAAGTGATGTAATATAGATGATTAACTTTCCTTTCAGCAATTTACTTGTAATGAAATTTATCTAGATTTAGGTATGTGCATTTGTGAAATACATTTATAAAAAGTTGTATATTTTTGAATATTTTGAGTAACTTTATGAAAATGGCTGACACACAAGAACAACAAGATCAGACCTGTGGTCAAAAAATGTAAAGGACCAACATATAAACTTGAGAAGTGCCTCCATGGATATTTATTGAAACATATAGAAAATAACTCTTTTGTCATGAAGAACCCACTAAGCTTAGTTAATGAACTCCAAAATGTATCTTTAATGGATGAAGAGATTGGTACATCATGGACTTTGAAAGTCTATATTAGTCAATAAAACTAGAATGTGTTATCATGCCTTAAT